TTTTGTTTTTGTTTGTAACTGGGAACATTTGTGCTTAATTTCAATTTTTTTAAATTAAATATTTGGTAGAATTTATCAGTAAGCACAACCATCTGGGTCTGTAGTTTTCTTTGTGGGAAGATTTTTAACTACTGTTTTAATCTTTTAATAAGTGAAGTGCTATTCAGGTTATCTATTTCTTTTTTAAGTGGAATTTAAAAGTTTGTATCTTCAAGGAATTTGTCTATTTCATCTAAATTGTCAACTTTCCTGGTAACTATACCCCCTTGTTATCCTATTAATATATTTAGAACCTGTGGTCATATTGATTTTCTCATTCCAGGTATTAGTAATTTGTTCTCTCTATCTCTCTCACTTCATTTTCTTTCTCCTAATCAGTCTGACTAGAAATCTATCAGTTATACTGATCTCTCAGAGAAGCAGCTTTTGGTTTAATTGATTTTCTATTTGTGTTTCTTTTTCTATTTTACTGATTTCCAGTCTGATTATTTTACGTTTTGTGTTAGTTTCTTTTATGTTTGATCTTCTTTTTCTATTTTCTAAGGTTAAACATGAGGACACTAGTATGAAAACTTTCTTCTCTTCTAACCTATGCATTTAGTAGTAGAGAATTCCCTATTATGTACTGCTGGTGGCACAGTAGTTAAGTGCTCAGCTGCTAACCAAAAGGTTGGCAGTTCGAATATACTAGCACTCCTTGGAAACCCTATGGGGCAGTTCTACTCTGTCCTCTAGGGCCACTATGAGTCGGAATTGACTCAGCAACAGTGTGTTTGGTTTTGGGTTTTACCCTGCTATTGACACATAATAGCAATGATAATGTTATTTAAGTCTTCTCTATTCTTTGAAACTTTCTGTCTACATGCTTTTTCATTTATTAAGAGAGAACTGTTTAAATTTCCAAGTAAAATTATGGATTTGTCTATTTTTCCTTGTAGTTCTATCAGTTTTTACTTCATGTATTTTGAAGCTCTGTTATTATGTGCATGAAAGTGGAGAATTGTTATGTCTTCTTGATAAATTGACTCTTTTATCATTAGGAAGTGATCTTATTTATCCTAGTTAATATTCTTTATTTTCTATTTCCGAAGTAACAAATTACTGCAAATTTTTCTAGTTAATAAACACATATTTATTATTTTACACTTTATGTAGGTCAGATATCTGAGCACCTGGGCTCAGGGTACCACAAGGCCAAAATCAAGGTGTCACCAGGGCTGTGTTCTTTCTGGGGGCTTTGAGGCAGAATCTCTTCTTATATCATTAAGGTTTGTTTGCAGAATTCAGCCCCTTGCTAGCTATAAGCCTGAGTCCCCCATATTTCCTTGCTAGATCTTATCTGGGGGCCACTCTTAGCTTTGAAAGGCCACTCTCTTGTCTTTGCACATAAGCCCCTATGTATCAGTGCCAGCGTCAGTGCATCTAAACCTTCTCATACTTGGCATATCTCTGGCTTCCTCCTCTTCTAGCTGAGTTAAGTTCTCTGCTTTTAAGAGCTCATTTGGACCACTTGGATAATCTAGGATAATCTCCCCATTTTAAGGTCCATTGCCTTAATTAAAATGACACATAACATATCTGTAAGTGCCAGGGATTTAGGCATTGAGGCATTGACATCTTTGGGAGCCCGTTATTCCATATAATGGTTATATATATATAGCTTTAAACTGTCGATTAGCCCTTAATGTAACTTCAATAATAACAAAAAAAACTAGTATAGTTATCATTTTTGATGCTCTTCTTTACTTTGTATATCTCCAGGTTTTCATCTGGTATCAGTTTCCATATACCTGAAATATTTCCATTAACATTTCTTTTAGTGCACATCTTCTGGCAATGATTCGTTTCACCCGTTGTGTGTCTGAGAAAGTCTTTATTTCACCTTTGTATTTTAAATAAATTTTTACCAGGTATAGAATTCTAAATTGTCAAGATTTGTTGGTTTTGTTTTGTTTTTGTTTTTGTTCTTTCTTTCAGTGCTCTCAAATTTCTGAGCCGTTATACTTGGCCTGCGTTTTGTTACTCTGTACATATAATGTGCTCTCCTATGTCAATTTCACTGTCTGCCTGACGATTTTCTTTTTATCATTTATTTTGGCGATTTGGATATGGCATGCCTAGGTGTAGTTGTCCTCATTATTCTTGTACTTGGATTTTGTTAACCCTCTTGTAAATATGGTTTAATACTTTTTACCAAATTTGGAAAATTTGCAGCTATTAGGTCAGATATTGTTTTCTGTCTCATAATCATTTGAGGACTTCAATTTCACATGTATTAGGCCACCTGAATTTCCCCACAACACTTAAAAGTTCCGTTCATTTTCTTTCAGTTTTTTTTTTTTTCTTTCCCTGCATTACTTCTTGGATAGCCTCTGTTGTCTTATGTTCAAATTGACTAATCTTTTCTTCTTCAGTGTTTGATCTACTGTTAACCTTAGCTGGGGTGCTTTTTACATCAGACATTGTAGTTTTAATTTGCATAAACTTGATTTTCTAAATATCTTCTCTATCTCTAATTAACATTATCAAATCTTTCTTATAGCTTCTTGAATGTATGGAATGACGTTATAATAACTGTTTTAATGTTTTTGTCTGTGTTATTTGTGGGTCAGTTTCAGTAAATAGTATTTTATTCTCATTATGGCTCATATTTCCTGTTTCTTTGTCTGACTAATAATTTTAGATTGGATGCCACATGTTGTAAATTTTATCTTTTTTTTTTACTGACTATTCTTTTATTATTTTACATATTTTAGGTCTTTGTCCTGTAATACAGATAAATTACTTGGAAACAGTATAATTCTTTTGACTCTTACATTTAAACTTCGTTAGGTAGGATTAGAACAGCATTAAGTCTAGGGCATATTTTACCCAACTCCTTAGTAAAACATTTCTGAATTTTCCACCTGTTGTCTCATGAGTTATGAGGCCTTTCACTGTAACTAGTGGGAATAAGAACTATTTCTTGCTCTTTGAGAGCTTCGAATATTATTCCTTCTTATGTTTTAGGGTAGTTATTTACCTGGCCTTAATTAGCTTCCTCTTATGTATGCACTCATCAGTACCCATCTGTAGATCACAAAGGTACCCAAGGCCTGTCTAAGGAAGTCTTTACTCTGAAGCTCTTTTCTGTCCAACACTCTGCCCAGTGAACTCTAGCCACCTTTACTTCCCCAGACTACCAGCTCTGCCTTCTCACTTTAGGGAGACCTCCAAACTCCAGTTGGACTCTGCAATAGGACTGACCTAGTTTTTTTCACATATATCAAAGGTCACCGTTGACTTCTTGTGTTGACTGATTTATAATGTTTTGAAAGCTGTTGTTTCGTATAGTGTGTCTAATAATTTTCGTTGTTTCAGGTAGTAGGGTAAATTGGGTACCCAATGAATATCTTCAGGAGAGTTCTGGAATTAGTCTTTAAAAGTACTATATAAATATACAGTATTAGTGTTGTTCTGCTAACCTACACTGTAAGTAAGACATATTTAATTAGCAGAGTCAACATTTAATAAAACATACACGTGAAGATTTAGGTCAACCTCTGAGATCATGTAGTGCAGATTGTTTGTAGAAAAGAAAATAATAAAAAAGAGTAAATAACCTGCTTTTGTTAATAGCATTAGCAGGACTAGAACTGGAGCATATAGTTCTTGATTTGGAAGTGTTTCTATTTACTTTTTTTTTTTTAACGATAGAGAGAATTTCTATCAAAGAGTTCATTTTCATCATAATTCTCTAATGGGTTAAAAATCTTAATTCTTGTAATAAAATATAGTAATAGTGTTCCTGCTGCCACATTAAAAATTAAGAAAAAGCAAAACCAAATGCATTTGTTTAAAATGTTCTTTTTCATAATTACAAGATAAAGAAAACAGGATACAGAAAGTCAAATGACAATTTGCTTAGAATGCAGAGTTGATCTTTGGAAAAAGGTATCCATGCTATTGTAATACTAGTAATTATTATGTTGTTTTAGAGACAGCATGTCATAGCATGCCCAGTAAATCTAAATTCATAAAGGAGTTACTTGATTTATTGTGTTTAATTACTAAGGTACATATCAGTTTGTATCCCCACCATCAATGGGCATAATGCAGCATCAATGCTGACTTGAATGCTATTGTAGAGATATTTTATTATAATCACACTTCTAAATCCCTGTCTGGTCATGTTGTCTAGGTCATGTAAACACAAATCTATTAATATAATTAATTTTAGGAATATTGTTTTGTAATATTCCATTTGAAATCATGAAACTATGTATTAAATCAAAGTGTATGCTTTACTTTGAAATGTAACTTCTGTTAAGGATGTTATTGATTTATTAACTGCAAAGGGTATGTTTTAGTAGTAGTTCAACATGTCCAAAATGTGCAGCATATACAGTTTTTGCAATGTAATTAGTTAGAAATTGGGAAAGCTTAATTTTAAAATTGAATTGTTCATGAAAATCTATTTTCATACTCTATGGCTTAAGCAGTTTCTCTTCATAAAATGTTCTATAGTTGTTTGAAGAAATTAAGGGTAGTTAATAAGAAAGAACATTATGATTTGACACCTAATTTGAAAGCCCTGTCTTGAAACAGTGAATGATTGCTTGTAGAATTACATGTACGAGGAGAACGCAAATAGGAAATCCATTTATGTTCAAAGTAGATCTCAGAATTGATGTAAGCCAAGGTGGTTTTGTCTGTCTTTTTGTGAGAAATATTTCATAAAAGTATATATACTTTCTAAAATGTTTAATGTTTCATATATTTTTTAAAACAACATTGTAAAATAGCTTTACCGTGAATTAGGTAATTATTGTACCTTAAAAGGCAGATCAACGTTCTTAGAGTCATTTTACTTGAAACCAAATCAGTCCATTGATATAAGTGAAGAAACTAACTATCAAGTTTTAAAGCTCAGCATAAAATGATCTGTGGGAAAAAAGCCCCAATGATGATGATGAAAATGTTTTACATCTCAATTAACTCTGTCTTCCTTTTTCCTTTAGTGCCACCAGCAATCACAATGCCTCAGAAATCCTTTAATGCCACAGCAGAGAGAGGTGAAGAGATGACTTTATCCTGCAGGGCCTCTGGCTCTCCAGAACCCACCATTAGCTGGTACAGGTAGGTTATCAACACACGTCTCTCTGGCTTGTGTCCATACTAAGATTTATGGAATAATATTCTGGGATCTTACAATTTTGGCAAGAAACAAAGCATTCTTTTTGAATTTCACTAGAAATATGATACTCTTGTTTTCAGTTATGCAGGTTAGATTAAGTCGCTAAAGAGGTCAACACATGATTTCACCCTAAATTTCTGAGCTAAAGGCTGCCTTCATAGCTTTGGTTGTTCTGTCTACCAGAACATGTTTCAGACCCAAATAAGGCCCAGGAGCCCTGTAACTGATTAAACCATTTTCTTATTATTACTATAGAGTAGCTTGAGGTAGAAGTCCTGGTATAGATGACATCACTGCTCTCTGTGTACAGTACCACATATGATAGAATACAGTGTTGTCATTGTGGTTAGCTGCCATCGAGTTGGTTCTGACTCATAGTGACCCTGTGTACAGTGGAATGAAACACTGCCCAGTCCTGCACCATCCTCACAATCATTATTTATGTGTCATATTATCCCAGAAAAAAGGCTAATTATGTAAACTTAAATTCATATGAGTTTAATGTAGTTTAAAAATTTTACCTTATGAAATGAATAAATTCTCTTTTTAAAATATATTAGTTGGCAGTTCACTTTTAACTATATTGTTTTTAGAATTGTTAAATATTATTCAACTTCAATTAAAATCAAATGGCTATCAAAATATGCCTTATATTTAGGTTGTGGCTCAAACTATTAAAATATCAGGCAATAAATGTTCAAGAGTGAACAATCTTGTAAATATTTATTGGTTATTAGTGCGGTTTACTACACAAACGTTAGCTATAGATATTTTAGAATCACTTCTAAACTTGAAAAACCTCCTAGTGTGAGCAGAGGAGCCAAGATGGTGGATCGATCAGACGCATCAGCCAGTTCCTCTACGGCAAAGACCCAAGAAAGCAAGTGAAACAGATATAGATGATAATCCTGAAACCATGAACATCAAATGAAAGGATGAAGAATTAGATTGAACACAAAGTGAAAGAAGAAACAGATCAGAAAAAGTGAACGAGGAGGAATACAGAGGGGAAGAACCTGTCAGCTAGCCTGGCACAGTATGACCATCTTAAGACAAAGCCAGCAGTCATCCTGGGAGAGAAACACAGGAAGGCAACTTCATGAAACTTCCAACAGGAGACAGAAAAATTGTGCAGTCATACCTGGAGTGGAAAGAGGTGAGCAGGACATGGGCTGGTTCTAGCGAGCGAGAGTACAGGAGGGAGGGAACGGGCACCAGGGTTCTGGGCTCCGCAGAGTAGGGAGGGAACCAAGAACTGGAGACAAGGGTAATCAACTGTGGCAGTCCCTAACCATTCAAAATAGTGACACACAAGGAGTAATAGATCCATAGAATGTCAGCAAGAGGGCCCCCACCTGACCGGACTTCTCCCCACCGCACACTCGCTAGGGGCCAGCTCCCAAGTGCCGGCCGCATCCAGTGGGAAGTCCTCAGGTACTCTTGCTCGGTGATCAGAGGAGCACGTTCCCCCTCCTCCTACCCTCCTAGTGAATAACACTGTGAACCCCCACATTCCTGTAGCCCTGATGGCCAGGAACACAGTATGAGCCTCCCCTTTTCACCCCACCCAGCTACATCTGCCATCTCCCCACCCTCTATCTGCCAATCACCCTAGAGGACATCAGGAGGGCATAACCAGAGTAAATATTTACGTACCCAATGAGAAAGCACCGAAATACGTAACACAAACCTTAACAGAAATGAAAAGGGAAATAGACAGTTTTACAATAATAGTAGGAGCCTTTAATGCACCACATTTGATGATGGACAGAACAACTAGAAAGAAACTCAGCAAAGATACAGAAGATCCAAATAACGCAATCAGCCAACTTGACCTCATAGACATTTACAAAGCACTCGACCGAAGAGCAACACAGTACACATTCTTCTTTGGTACACATGGATCATTCTCTAAAATACTGTCTCTAGGCCACACATTCAAAAATATTGAAAGATTACAAAGCATCTTCTCAGATTACAACACTATGAAATTAGAAATCAGTAACAGGAAGAACAAGAAAAATAATCAGATACTTGGAAACTGAACAACGCCATGCTTAAAAACCACTGAGTAATAGAAGAAATCTAAAATGAAATTTAAAAAATTCCTAGAAACAGATGAGCATGAAAACACAACACACCAAAACCCCTGGGACACAGTAAAAGCAGTGCTCAGAAATCAATTTATAACAATAAACATGTACATCAAAAAAGAAGAAAGGGCTGAAATCAATACCTTAATCATACAACTTGAACAAATAGAAAAAGAGCAGCTAAAGAAGCCCACAGATGCCGGAAGAAAGGACATAAAGATTAAAGCAGAAATAAAGCAAAAAACAGAAAAACAATCAAAAAAATCAACAAGACTAGAAGCTAGTTGTTTGAAAGGATCAATAAAATCGACAAACTACTGGCCAAATTGACAAAGAAGAAAAAGGAGAAGATGCACATAACCCAAATAAGAAATTAGATGAGTGACATTACAATAGAACCAAATGACGTAAAAAAAGGATTATAACAGAATACTATGAAAAACTGTACTCCGGGATCTAAGATACATCTATTGGTCTCATTCCATCAGGAGCAAAGGAAAATGAAGAAAAACCAAAGACACAAGGAAACAATTAGTCCAAAGGACTAATGGACCACATGAATCACAGCCTTCACCAGCCTGAACCCAGAAGAACTGGCTGGTGCCCACTACCACCACTGGCTGCTCTGACCTGGATCACAGTAGAGGGTCTTGAACAGAGCAAGAGAAAAATGTAGAACAAAAATAAAATGCACAGAAAAGACCAGTCTACTGGTCTGACAGAGACTGGAGGAACCCCTGAGACTATGGCCCCCAGAGAATTTCAACTACTTTGGACTCCTCAGCTCTGAACTCTGTCTGTGAAACCCAGAATCACTGTCTGACTGTGTTTGGGTTCTCCCTTCCTAAAGTTCAATCTGGAAGCTTTCTTTAGAGAGTAAGCTTGGCAATTCTCAGGGGTCACTCTCATGCAGTACCTGTTAACCAGTGTTTGATAATTGTTGTTTCGTATGTGTGTTCGGTGTTTTAGTTGTTTAAAGTGGAAAGTTAAATGTCTTAGTCATCTAGTGCTGCTCTAACAGAAATATCACAAGAGGATGGCTTTAATAAAGAGAAATTTATTCCCTCACAGTCTGATCGGCTACAAATCCAAATTCAGGGCATCAGCTCAAGGGGAAGGCTTTCTTTCTCTGTCAGCTATGGAGGAAGGTCCTTGTCGTCAATCTTCTCCTAGTCGAGGAGTTTCTCAGTGCAGGGACCCCGGGTCCAAAGGATGCTCTTGTTTCTTGGTCGTATGAGGTTCCCCTGTCTCTCTGCTTGCTTCTGTCTTTTATATCTTAAAAGAGATTGGCTTAAGACACAATCTAGTCTTGTAGATCTCATCAGCATAACTGCCACTAATCCATCTCGTTAACATCACAGTGATTGGGTTTACAACACATAGGAAAATCACAGAAAACCACATCAGATGACAAAATGGTGGACAATCACACAATACTGGGAATCATGGCCTAACCAAATTGATACACATATTTTTGGGGGACACAATTCAATCCATGCCAGTAAATATGATCTCTGTTACTCCATCAGGACCAGAGTAGAATTCTCATCCCTTCTTTATCATTTGCGCTAATCCCTAACCTTGACCCTTATTTCCTTATGTCTGGAAAAGGGGCACTTAGAGAAGTGATTTGAGTTGAAAAGAATGGGTTCATGAGAGTCTATCAGAATCTCGTAGGGGTCTTTTTAGAATTTGCCATTGCGTTTGAATGAATGAAAGTAACTATAAGAGTGCATTCTATCTATCAGGTTTGCTGGTAAAGGAGTATTAAGAACTATTATTTTGGTCATTGTTATGGATTGAATTGTGTCCCTCAGAAGTGTGTGTCAACTTGGCTAGGCTATGATTCCCCAGTATTGTGTGGTTGTCTTCCATGTTGAGATCTGATGTTATTATCGTAAATGTTGTAAATCCTAACCTCTCTGATTTTAATGAGGGAGAATTAGAGACAGTTATGTTAATGAGGTAGGACACAATCTGTAGGATTAGGTTGTATCTTGAATCAGTGTCTTTTGAGATATAAAAGAGGGAAGCATGCAGAAAAGAGAGGGACCTCATTGCTACCAAGCAAGAAGAACCAGGAGCGAAGCATGTCCTTTGGACCTGGGGTCCCTGTGCTGAGAAGCTCCTAGACCTGGGGAAGATTGATGACAAGGGCCTTCCCCTAGAGCTGACAGAGAAAGAAAAATTTCCCCTGAAGCTGGTGCCCTGAATTTGGAGATCTAGCCTCCTAAACCATAAGAGAATAAATCTCTATTTGTTAAAGTCATCAACTTGTGGTTATTTCTGTTACAGCAGCACTAGATAACTAAAACAGTTATTATCCTTTTTTCTTTTTAATTTGACTTTTGACTTTTTAATTTGACATAATCTTTATACACTGATAATTGTAAATCTGTTCCAGATCTACTCAGTTACTTCAGATTCCACATGAGGGATTCACCGTTTGTTTTTTTTCCCCAATGCAATTTTCCAGAGTATTGCAGCCAACAGTTATCCTTCTTTCTCATCACTCCTACTATGGTGAATTTTGCCCCACCAATAAAAAGTAATGAGAAAATTAATTATTGGGTATATATTATCTTCTAGGGAGCCCTAGTGGAAAAGTGGTTAAAGTGCTCAGCTGCTAACTGAAAGATCAGTGGTTCAAACCCACCAGCCACTCTGTGGGAAAAAGATGTAAACATTATAGCCTTGGAAACCTGATGAGGCAGTTTTACTCTCTCCTGTAGGGTCGCTCTGAGTTGGAACTGACTGAACAGCAATGGCTTTGGTTTGATTTTTATATTATCTTCTATTCCCTCCAGCAAGCCCATAGATTTTTCATGGTAGGTGGCCATGTTTCACTCATTTGCTACGCTTCAAACATTTATCACAGCATTTCACATGAAGATATCACAGTATTTCACGTGAAGTCTAAGAGAAAATACTCTGTGTCTTAGTTATTTACTACTGCAATAACAGAAATACTACAAGCTTTAAAGAACAGAAATTTATTTTCTCCAAGTTCTGGAGGCTGAAGGCCAAATCAGGATCTTGGCCATGTTGCTTCCTTCCTGGTCAGTAGCCTGAAGCATTCCTTGGTTCCTTGGTGATCCTCACCTGGTCTCTGTCTTCTCCCCTGTGTTCCTATCTATGTGTCTAATCTGCTCTTTTTATAACTCAGAAAAGATTGGGTTTAAGACACACTCTACCTTGGTATGGCTTCATTAACATCTTTATTAACATCTCAGAGAAAACTACTTCTCAACAGGATTACATCCACAAGTTAGGATTCCAGCACAAATTGTGTGAACACAATTTAATCTATAACACTCTGTAACTCATTAAACCTGGAATTTATATTACTGTGGGAGCTCAAGTTCCTTCATCTGTGAATTGAGGGTTGGGGAAATTATAACTAAAATTTTAATTTTCTCATTCATGTGTGAGAGTAGGGAGAGAAAATATGTATCTTTTAAGTTAATTGTGAGTAGTCAGTTAAGCAAGTAATATAGGGAACTTTTTTTAAAAATTATAAAATGCTATAACCTCTAGTGCATTATTATTTTGAAACATGAATAACTTTTGTTGAATAGATTATTTGACAGATTTATTGAATAGATAACTAATTGAGGAGTAAACACTATGCATTTGATTCTAGGTGAGAAAGCTTAAGCATTGTTATTCTTATATAGCTGTTGTAAAAATTGAGAAAGTTAATATATGAAAATAATACTTGTAAAAATATAAAAACCAAAAACCGTGTTGCCATCGAATCGATTCTGACTCACAGTGCCCCTATAGGACAGAGTAGAACTGCCCTATAGGGTTTCCAAGGAGTTTCTGGTGGGTTCAAACTGCCAACTTTTTGGTTATCAGCCAAGCTGTAAACCACCGTGCCACCAGGGCTCCGTAATCTTATTTGTTTATTGACAATAAGTTGATTTTGTATTTACATTGTATTTTTTTTTAAGTTTTTTTGGAGGACGTTTCCAGAGATATCTTTCAAAGACCCTCAGAACCTAGTAAATAAATGTTTTATAACTATGTGTTGACTCACCACTATTTAAAGTGTATGTGGCATTAAAATCAGGAAAGGAAAATTATTGTTGAAAACAAAGTACAAATGGAACCAGTGTGCTTTTATGCCTAAGGTTAGTGTTCAACTGTCTACATAGCTCATATGTTATTCTTGTCTCTAAAGTCAAATGTACTTTCAAGTATAATTTTAGTATTTCTGTGCCAAGGTGTCCCTGGGTTACTAAAAATATCTTTGATTGAAATATAACTTTGTCTATAAATGACAGTAGACATTAAATGATTGATGCCTATAGATCAGAAAGTTGAGTATTACCATCTCATCAGTTATGAAGTCAGATTTATGAAGAGCAACCTCTTTTTTCTTCTTTAGGAATGACAAGCTCCTTGAAGAAAATGAAAAGTACCTTTTAAAAGGAAGCAATACAGAACTTACTGTCAGGAACATTATCAATAGTGATGGGGGCCCTTATGTCTGCAGGGCCACAAATAAGGCAGGAGAAGATGAAAAACATGCATTCCTCCAAGTTTTTGGTAAGTATTATGGCATAGAGTTTAAAATCTTGATGTCTAGAGGGAAAGCTGTGTCAAATCCTTGTCTACCATTTATACAAGCTGTTTGACTTTCCCACAGGTTTCTTATCTCTAAAATATATTTTAAGATGGAATTGACCTGATACAATTATTTTAAAGATTACATGAAGTTACACATATAAAGTCTTTTAAGATATTGGCTAACACATAATGGAGGCTGGAAGAAAATTCTTTTAAATTACACATCATGGATTGTCATATTTTTTTCTGTATATGAAGGTTGATCTTCATAAACATTTAAATCACATGTTGGGATCAATGTTTTTTTCATATACTCCAAGCGTACATTAATAATTAGGACATACTGATCTGTAATTATATGTCATAATTTTTTCATTTTTTAAAAGGAAATGCAATATGAATATCTTCCATCTTTACCAAGAGCCATAATTGCCTTCTTTGAGATAACTGTAGAGAATACGAACTAGAAATAAATTGTAGTTATTGATTTAGCTTACATTGTGTTCTCAGTAAATAATACAATATGCTGGTTGGTGATTATAATACTACTTTCTTTAGTAAGTATAGCACTAAATATTAAATTTACTACAAGCATTTAAATAAGGAAAACCGAAGAAGAATTGACACCTTTGAATCGTGGTGTTGGCGAAGAATATTGAACATACCATGGACTGTCAAAAGAACAAACAGATCTGCTTGGAAGAAGTACAACCAGAATGCTCCTTAGAAGGAAGGATGGCGAGACTACATCTCACATTGTTTGGATATGTTACCAGGAGGGACCGGTCCCCGGAGAAGGATATCATGCTTGGTAAAGTAGACGGTCAGCGAAATAAAGGAAGACCCTCAACAAGGTGGACTAACACAGTGGCTACAACAGTGGGCTTAAGCATAACAACAATTGTGAGGATGGCGCAGGACCGGGCAGCGTTTCGTGCTATTGTACATAGGGTTGCTATGAGTTGGAACCAACACAACAGCACCTAACAACAACAACAAGCATTTAGTATGTTTCTTCCATTTTAGCATATGTTGTTATGAAAATAGCTTGACAACGAAGCAGCGGGAAAGCAGTGAGAACTCTGTAGGAATAAGGAAGACCAATGGTTACAATTCATAGTGCAGAGGGACCACTTACATAGACCATGAGATGAATGGTAATGCCTGTGTGAGCTCCCTCTCTGCCCATTGGTTCTGTAGCCACTATATTGAAAGCATTTTCTGAATTAGAGATTTTCAAAAAGCTTACATTCCAGCAGAGTGATATAGAAGAGACTCGGCTATACAAAATATTTTAAAACTAAATGAAATTTAGATAATAAAACATTCTAGGAAAGAAGTGCAACTGAATAAATCTCAGGTAGGGCTGGGTAAGAGGGTACTATTTAGATAGTGTGATATTGGAAAGTTTCTCAGAAGCATGATGTTTAGGTGATGTTTAAACAGAAAATATCTATCTTTTAAGTTATTTGTGAGTAGTCAGTTAAGCAAGTAATATAGGGACGGTGTTTTAAAAACTTTAAAATGCTGTACCCTCTAGTGCATTATTAGTTTGAAACAAATGAATACTTTTTTGTTGACTAGATCATTGAACAGATTTATTGAATAGATAACTAACTGAGGAGTAATCACTATGCATTTGATTCTAGGTGAGAAAGCGTAAGCATTGTTATTCTTATACAGCTGTTGTCTGAAGAGAGCTCAAAAAGCTAAGAGCATGGAGAAGACAGTTTCACATGGGGGAAGAGTAAATATAGTTAAAGAAAATATAGAAATTCCCTAACTTTTTCCAGCAGTATTCCCCACTTAAAATGTTTGTCTCTATAAAAATTAAACAGCACTAACTCAATGTAACGTAGTATAAGAATAAATCAGATAGTTAGAAACAGTAGTGTATGAAGTAATTCCAAAGGACGAATGATCTTTATTTTGAATATCTTTTGTGGGGGGAGATAAACAGTTGTGTAGTTTACATGATTGTAAGTGAGTTTCTAATTCTTCAAAGTCTGACACATTCGCTAAGATATTCTGTCTAGTATATCCCTCTTGATTTAAATTTTAAGAAGTTGGAAAGATTTTTGTTAAATTTTATTGTGAGTCTGTGATGTTGGAGCCCTGGTACGCAATGGTCAAAGCGCTCGGCTGCTAACCGAAAAGTCGGCGGTTGGAACCCACTAAACGTTCCATGGAAGAAAGATGTCTGCTTCTGTAAAGATTTACAGCCTTGGAAACCCTGTAGGGCAGTTCTACTTTGTCCTAGAGGGTCGCTGTGAGTCAGAATCGACTGGAAAAGAAGAGATTCGGTTTTGGTTTTGTGATGTCACCGATTTGATTTGTCAAAAAATGATGGTAATTAATTTAAAATTTAGCGCCTTGAACCTTATTATATTAGGTGGATAAAAGAAATGAAAACAAAAGTGATGTCTTCAAAAGTTGATTATGAGATTATAAGCCAGAACACAATATATTTTTTCTAGATCTAGTCAATTTAATTAGTTTCTTCTGGATGGCATACAACATACCAGGCATTATTAGGTGTTGCAAAGCACAAATGAAAGGCAAGCATCCTACCCTCAGTAAGCTCATATGAAATACTATTTTAGTTACTTGATTTTTGTTTGTTTTATTTTTTAAATCCAGATGGCAGTGAGAGAGAACAAAGAGGGAAATAACCCACAATTTTTTGATATTGTATCATTTCACATAGAAAATAATAATGCATAAAATATTATATGCTACATCACTGTAATAATCATTTACTTTTGTCAAGTAACACTGAACACATCTATGTTGCTTTTAACACAAAATCATGTTTATATAGTGGAAATATAACTGAATCTATCAGAGGATATAGTTTTAAGCAGTGAATTGTTAATTATTCTATGTATCATATTTCTAATAATAGAAATTTTGTAAATTTTTATGTGGCACACATATGTACCAGTAAACTATGGGGAGACTCTGGGGTAGAATTGCTGGTATAACATATGAACCTCAGGAAAGTAAGGGTGGGCTTGTGGGAAGGGGCAAGAAAAAAAAATCCATACAACCTACCAAAAATTCAGACACACTCAATGATTCAGCATGCTTCCATTAATGAAAACACATAGTATCAACAGAAAATCCATAGCAGAAAATAATTGGGTCTTGAAAGGGATAAGGTGACAATAATTGGCAAAATTTTGGAAGGAATTATGATTTGTATGTAGGTTTATAAGCTACTTGACTTTACGTTTACAATAATATTAATAACAATAAGAATTAATGAGCATTATTTTCTAAAGTTTTATCTGTTGAGCTTTGCAACTCTTATATAATGCCTATAAAGAAAAACCATGCCACTGTAACATCTACAAAGGTAATAATTTCATAATATATAAAGTGGACTTTAAATGCCCACTGTGGCTTTTAAGTCTGAATTATAATATTTTTGTACAATACAGATTGAGTGATGTATATATTTTTTACAGTACAGCCTCACATAATACAGCTTAAAAATGAGACTACATATGAAAATGCTCAAGTCATACTCATCTGCGAAGCAGAAGGGGAGCCTATTCCAGAAATCACTTGGAAAAGAGCCGCGGATGGCATCACGTTTTCTGAAGGAGCTAAGGTAAGAGCATCTCCATATATAGTGGTTTTCAGGATCATTTAATTCCCATTGTTTTGAATATTATTACATGTCACATAGGACTCCAAGCTGCTGAGCAATTCATAGAACTAAAATAAATGGCTTACTTTAAAAAAGGTAATTCTAACACTGGGTTAGCCTAAAAATATCTTCAGAGGAGGTAAAAATCCAGGTTGTTTTGTTCAGTCACAAAATCTTAGCATGTTGATACAATTGTTCAGTTGGCTTGCATGGACTTTGGATATGCATTGTATCTATAAATATGTTATTGCAATCTTAAACCTTACTGCTACGTAAATGAGAGTAATTCTCATTCACCAGATGTGGCTGTCGTTAAGTAGTTTTTCTCTCTAGAACTGTCTCTGTGCCGTAGCATGCTAAGTTTTTCCTTTGTGTGATTTAGAATCTAATACAGAGACATAATTACAAATACAACAAAATACAGCGTTTTGGCAAATATCACTCCTGTGTAAGTTGGTGAAGTTTCAGAATGCATTCAGTTTACTTAGAAATTACTTAAACATTACCATATGCTTCTCGCCACCCAGTGGATTATCATTATTGCTGAAACAAGGTGAGCTGGGAACATGTTTTATCATTATTACTAGATAACATTAAGTACAGGCAAGAGTGAATTCAAAAGGAAAAAGACAGTGAATTGTTACAAGCTGAAATTTGCATTTACATATGTAAAGGTTGTTTAAGATTAGGCCTTTCCATTGTTTTTTCTGTACTTAATGTTAAAGAATAACTTCCTTTTAAGCCACTTCATTGATTTAAATCCGGTTTCTGCAAGTCTACAATGCATGCACAGATCAAAGTACCTTTGGTTTACCAATACTGATAGCTGAAAAATGTGAAGTCAATTTATTCAAAATCTACTTTCTTCTACAACTCCTCATGATATATTTTCAACAGCATGCTGATTTCATAAGTTGAAAAAAAAGTCATCTCTCCATCAATTTAATGTTTGTCTATTGAAAGAATGTGTTCCTATATGTGTCCCTTTGTTTTTTTTTCCCCCAACCATTTCCCCCTCATGGTGACATTTTTAAGCGAGCACATCTGTTTTGGTAATAGTTGTTCCATTTTGATATACATATTTTATATATTCAAGTTAAAAATCAAATTAATAAAATGTGAATGACAATTATACTCTTCTGGTGGCCCAGAGAAATGTTTGCTTTTGTATTTTCTTAACAGAAAATCATACATACAGTTAATATTACATAGTTGCCAAATCTGAAAGCAGTTCAATTTCCATTAAAAAAAAAAATTAGATATATAAACCTTCAGGGGATAGTTTTCATATTTCAATTTAAATATTTCTTTAGATTAGATTACTCAAGTCATTATTTTCATGCCCTTAAGCCTTATTAATATTCCTAACTCTACATTTTCTAATTATTTTCCCATTTACTGTAAAATTCCTAAAAGTTGTCTTCTCTGAAGATAGCATTTAACTTTCGTTTTAATAGATGTCCCCTTCCATATATACCCAGAATAAGAAATTGATTATCTTCAGTTTATTTTATCAGTGATGAGTTATCAAATAACCAGAAGGGTCCAGATATGTTATTCTAAGCTCTACTCCCAAGGCCAGCCCAAACCACATATAGAAATTATTCCAGTAGTAGCTGTGAAAAATAATCATCTAGTTCCACTTTGCTAATGACGATTTCTTCTTTAAGAACACAACATTTAATTTTTGGCTTTCTCTTCTCTGTTATAAAAAATATATTCTAGAAACTAAACTTGCTTTCTTGTACCACTTTTATGAAAAAAGAAAAATAAAAACAGAACACTATTCACTTTCTCTCATGACAGTTTCCCCAAAATATTTTAAAATGCATGTCGCATTTTCTTGACACCGATATGATTTTTTTTCTGCTAGTTCTTTCAGGAGCCCAGACTCAGACATTGTATGGATGAGGGAAAATAACTTGAGCTTTGAAGTAAGGCAGATCTAAGTTTAAATCCCACCTCGGCTTTGGCAATATTATTTGAACTCTTTTTAATATCAGTTTCTTCACTTTTAAAATGTGAATAATAAAACTTATTTCACTTACGTGTATAAGAAGATTGAGGAGTACGTTATATAAAATGCATATTAAAGTGTTTAGCATATTGTAAATATTCTATAAACTTATTTTTTTAACTTTGTCATATTATGTTCTTTTTGAAGCAGAGTTTCTCTTGTTTTTCTTATTCTGAATAAATTATGGTTGCTAATAGACTCCATAATTTCTGACACCTAGGATCCGAGTAAACACTATCGCAGAGCACCTTGAGATTTGATCTCTGTTGTCCTAGAAAGTAACATGAGATTAGATTTTCTGTGAGAATCACGTGGTGATCTGTTAAAATGCAGATTCTAGCTTCTTGTTTCTCAAGGTTGAGTCAGTTACATCCAGAAAAGGTCTTAGGAGTGTATGTTTAATATACTCATCAATTAGTATGATATAGATAGTTTGGGAGCAATAGTTTGGAAAATAATTCCCTAAATATAAGTCAAGATGAAATGTAAGAACTAATTATTTCAACAGAAAAATGCTTGTAGCAGTATACCTGGCATATAATACCAAACCAAACCTGTTGCAGTCGAGTCTATTCTGACTCATAGCGACCCTATAAGAAACAGTAGAGCCGCCCCATGGGCTTTCCAAGGAGCAATGGTGAATTCAAACTGCCAACCTTTGTTTAGCAGCTGACCTCTTAACCGCTGCACCACCAGGGCTCCTGTCACATGATAGGGGCTTGGAAAATATAAAATAAAACAAAATTTTCTGTTACGCACGTACCCGTCAAAGTTTTTTTCTTTTTCTGTTTAATTGTGGTAAATATATATGTCACAAAATATTTGCTGTTTCAACATTCTTTACATGCATAATTCAGTGACATTAATTGTGATTATCATGTTGTGCAGCCATCAAAATTATCCATTTCCAAATTGTCCATCAGATTTAACAGAAGCTCAGTGCCCCCTAAACAGTGAATCCCCCTTTTACCATTCTTTCCACCCACCCCTGGTAACCACTATAAACTTAGGACTGTATATACTTGCCTCTTCTAGACATTTCATATAAGTGGACTCAAACACTGTTTCCTCTTTGTGACTGAATTATTTCATTCAGTATGATGTTTCAAGGTTCATCCATGTTGTAGCATATATTAGAACTTCAGTCAAATTTTTGATGAATTAAAATATTTTGATGAAATTGTAGGTCAAAAACAGTGAAATATTGCCTGTGTCATATGGCTCAACCCAATAATTACATCTAGTTATAAGGCAACTCATTTAGCAGATATTTTCATCATCGTTGTAGAATTTTGAAGGGGGGCCCTCTCAGTAAATAACATCCCTCCTTCTTGCCTCAGTTCCTAATCAACAGAGAAGACAAAGTAAATAAACAGGAATAAAATATTATGTGACTTAAATCTACAGGCAAGTAAATGTATTATACTGAACTTGAGAATTAGACCTATCCTGCAGAGTCACAAGCAGCATTAGACTATCATCTCTTCTGTGGGATGAAGAGAAGAGACATCACTGCTAAGGTTACCATGATGGCTGAGAGCAGTGGAGAACCCATGGTCTCCACAGGAAGGCTCTTTCTGAAAAGAAGAGGAAGGAGGAAGAGAAGGAGGAGAAGGAGAAGAGTGGAGGTTAGAAATTGACAGTAGTTAAAGGAATTGATGGAATACCAATTGAGATGTTTCAACAACTGGATACAGTGCTGAAAGCACTCTCTTGTCTATGCAAACAAATTTGGAAGACAGCTACAGACTGGAAGAGATCCATATTTGTACGTATTCCAAAGAAAAGTGATTCAACAGAATGTGGAAATTATCAAACAGTGTTATTAATATCACTCACAAATAAAATTTTGCTAAAGGTAATTCAAAAATAGCTGCAGCAGTACATCAGCAGAGAACTGCCAGAAATTAAGGCCAGATTCAGAAGAGGACGTGGAACGAGAGATATCATTGCCGATGTCAGATGGAGCTTCTCTGAAAGCAGAGAAAACCAGAAAGATGTTTACCTGTGTTTTATTGACTATGCAAAGGCATTTGACTGGGTGGATCATAACAAATTATATATAACATTACAGAGAATGGGAATTCCAGAACACTAAAATGTGCTCATGCAGAACCTGTAATAGACCAAGGGGCAGTCCTTCAAACAGAACAAAGGGATACTGTGTGGTTTAAAATCAGGAAAAGTGTGTATCAGGGTTGTATCCTTTCACCATACTTATTCAGTCTGTATGCTGAGCAAATAAATATAAATAATCTGAGAAGCAGACTATATGAAGGAGAAGGTGACATCAGGATTGGAGGAAGACTCAATAACAACCCACAGTACGCAGATGACACACTCTTCTTGATGAAAGTGAAGAGAACTTGAAGCACTTACTGACGAAGAACAAATACCATAGCCTTCAGTATAGATTACACCTCAACATAAAGAAAACAAAAAGCCTCACAAGTGGACCAATAAACAACATCATGACATCCAGAGAAAGTATTATAGTTGTCAAGGATTCCATTTATTGGATCCACAATCAGTGCCCATGGAAGTAGCAGTCAAGAAATCAGACGACATATTACATTGGACAAATCTACTGCAAAAGACCTCTTTAAAGTGTTAAAAAGCAAAGACGTCACTTTGAGTGACTATGATGTGCCTGACCCAAGCCACGGTATTTTCAATTGCCTCATAAGTTTGTGAAAGCTGGACAATAAATAAGGAAGATGGAAGAAGAATTAAGGCATTTAAATTATGGTGTTGGCAAAGAACATTGAAAATAACGTGGCTGCAAGAAGAGTGAACACATCTGTCTTGGAAAAGGTAACAGCCAGAATGCTCCTTAGAAGTGAGGATGGCGAGACTTTGTCTCACACACTTTGAACATGTTATCAAGAGGGACCAGTCCCTGGAGAAGGACATCATACTTGGTAAAGTAGAGGGTCAGCACGAA